TTAGCAAATAAATCCTGGAGTTTAGAATTATTTACAATTTATGCCATTGACATTTATTATTAAGTTACAAAATTTAAATAAAAGATATTAACGAAACGATATCTTACCTAATTTGTTTCTAAAAATCTCTACACAATCTTTTCATATATCTTAAAAAAAAAAATTTCTGAATTTTACTCTACAAAATATGCATAAATCCGATTATAGCAAATATTTATATTAAAATTTTGCATAGTAATAAAAAATACTAATTTATAATAATCAAAATATTCACATAGAAAAATCATATATACATACATGAAAAAGAATTATATATATCATCATTTAAGCCGTTGCTTTATTTAAATAAAAAAACAAAAATAGTTGAAATCATATACTTTATATGATAAATTTAAAATATCTATTAGTAGTATAAATTTAAAATCATTCAAGGAACGGTATACCACGGGTGAGATCCTAAAATTATTAGATTTTATAATAATAAGAATTTATTTTCTTGGATTTTATAACACTAATAATTTAGCTAACGGAATAATATAGATTGTTGGGGTCGGATCCCACACATTTTTGGTAGGATCCACTTGGATCTGTCCAAGTCATTGCTACATAATAATCCTCTTGGAATTAAAGATATTTTATTGTGAGAATCGAGTTTAGCCAGTCGGGAGTTCAGTTCGATTTATTAGAGGAGTTCGATCTTTACCAGTACGGAGTTCGCTCTTATTTCAACATACAGTTCGCATAGAGAGGCCGAAGCGAGGAAAATATTGTTCGAGGCTCGCGGCAGCGTCAAGACGCAGGAGTTCGGAGTCAACAAGAAAGAGTTCGGAAGATCCACGCGAAGCCCAAGATAGTTCAAATTCAAGCCGTTTCGGTCAAAATGTAACTTACGTGATTAATGCGGATCAATGCGATTATGAGCAGTTGACCGCATTGATCAAGTTTTCTCTATAAAAACAAACTCAAACGCATGTGTTTGGGAGACGAATCTGATTATTCATTACTTCTAAGCAATACAATACATTTATCTCTCTTTACTATTTTTTGCAAGGCTTTTTGCACTTCATCTTTCGATAAATTTCTTTACTCCTTTTCTTGGTTGTTTTCCATTTCGAATTCTCGTATTATTTTCCTGATTTTACAAGAGTTTTTCTCCACAAAAATATTTAAAGATAATCGAGTGTGAATCCTACATCCACATAGATGGGTTTATATGGGATGACGGGTTTGAATCGATATTAATAAAGAACAGTTTATCACGGATGAAATCCTAAAATTAACAATCAAAATACAATTATACAACCTTAAACACAAAACAAAATATACAATATTAACAAAACAAATATAACTTGAAATTTAAAAATTTTAGTTATAAAAAAAATCGACCCACGTTATACTGCGGAGTAAAATATTCAAAATTTTAAAATCTACCATACATCGTTACTTAAAAAATCTATGTTTTCGAATCTATACTTCAAAAATTAAAACCTAAATAATAGTAATCATACACTAAATAATACATAAATAGATATCTACATTTAAAAATATAAAGTAATACACCGCGGGTTAAATTCTAGTATATATGTAAAAACAAATGATCAGATCTAATTAAATTAATAATCTACGAAACAAAAGTATAAAACTGATTAGTGTATGCTTATTTATATTCTCTGAAATTATAATTAATCAGAGAAAATAGTGACGGATGATGAGACGGATGATGATGATTTGATGTCTTTAATATATTCGGCAAAATGTAGCTTTCGAAAAGCCCATGAGCTTGCTTTTGGGTTCCTGCTATCACTATATCAACCCATAAAAGAATATAATCGAACTTCAAGTCCCTCACGGCTCAGTAGCTTTTTACACTTTCTCAAAAAAGTCTGCATATGTAGTCCTTCTCATAATATTGACTTGTACCGCAGCCGACTTTGAGAAGGTGAATATATCAAAGACTTAATTACTTTATATTTGACATGGAAGTCTTCGTTTTAACCAACTAGATTCATCTTTGGTTTTATCCCCTAACCTAAAAGTACATAGAGAAGAGAAGGTGTTACGACTGTTTAACTAGTTCTATCCCTAACCACTGCAATATATTCATGGTATATTCGAAACTTTTTTCAAATAAAATGTATAATTAATTAGTTTTCTCTTGAAACCGCAGGGTTTATATATGTTTATGAACATTAATTATGTTCCACAAAGTTGACGCACCATCTTACTAACTAATTGAAATACGAAGCTTTAGGTTTCTAAACATTATTTTTGCGTATATATATGGTATATATGGATAGCAATGTAACGTGCAAATCGTTGTAGTTAATTTGGTCTTTTTTCAAGATGTTAGGTTTGACTGATCACACACAAGAAGATAATATATACTGTCAGGTAATTATCATCACAAACGGGTCATACTTATACATATCGGAGTTAAATGTATAGAATCAAAGTTTACTTGGTCATTCAATATGTGACGTGTATAAGTACTTCGATCGTGGTGTTGGTTTGTGATTTTTGGAGAAATTCAAGTACTTAAGCAAATTTTGTCCTTTAACAATTTTTAGTGAATCTCAATTTAATTTGAACATTATAAATATATAGAATAAAAGTCTTGATTTTTTTGTGTGCTGCTTAAGTTTGTGTTTGCGTAAAAACAATCATCATAATATGAAAACTCAAACACAAACAAACAATCAGTTTTTTTTTTCTGCTCAGAAACAAAACAATCAGTATTGAATGTCAGTAGTTAATTGAAAACTCAAACACAAACAAACAATTGAACAAACAGTAGGCGAATTTCTAAAGTAATTCGAAGAAGCAAACAAACCAGTAGGCGAATTTCTAAAGTGATAGGTTTAATTCAAAGCTTCTGAGATCGGTATAAATATTAGTAGTATGTTTTTGGTATTTGACTCGAATAAATTATTGACCAAAATTCTTTATATTTTTTTTGGTAATCTATGTATAGTATATGAGGTATGAGAGATAATTTCTTGTTCAAAAAAATAAATAAAGCATAAATGCATTATTCAATCAAAGATTATATATGTCCTAAGAGCAACAGCAACGGTGCAATCGCACCATGGGTTTTAGTATTAAAATAACTGATTTTATTGCAAAAGTTGTGTCAGTAACAAAACCCGCGTGTATGTTTACAACCGGATGTAGAATTTAATTATGAGACAAAAAATTTTACATTATTTTATTACTTCAACTTTCATTATTTTATTAATAAAACAACACTAACACACACCCTACTTTTACCACTGCTCATGGTCTAAAGCCGTAAGGTAGGATGAGCTATAATAAGCGTTTGGTTAGAGGAAGATCAACTGTAGCATTGTTGTCTTCTTCGGATTAGTTGGAAACTTCTTCCGTACGATTATATTTCATCTGTTTTCTATAATATATTGTTATTATTAGTAAGTTTTGTTAGATTACAATTAGATTCTTAAGAAATGTTTAAATTTGATTAGGATCAAGCATATATATATATATATATATATATATATAATTACTGGGTCATCATGAATGAAATAGTATTAATAAGAAAAGTTGTACAAGGTGAAAACATATATTCTAGTGTCGTCGTTGTGGCAATAAAATTCAAATCCCATAAAACGCATCGTCATTGATAAAAGAAAAGAGCTTAATTTACAAGTTATTCGATGGCTTTTATGGATCAATTAACGTCAACATCGAAGCAATGAAAATTGATTTTATGGACCAATTAACGTCAACGTAGAAGCATCTAAAAAGCGATTAATTAAATAAATGTTAAATAAGAATTAGTTTAGTCGATCGTTAGAAGAGTTAGGGTTTTCACGGGTCCCAGGGTTAAGGGTTGCGTGCCTAGATGTACTTAAAACTAAATTTACACCAATAATCAACCACCATATTGAGACGTTTGATTATTTTCTTAGAAATTACTACTATATAGTTGATGATATAGCAATGTACATACTATTTTAGTGATTAATTTGTAGTACTTTGCAACCTTTTTCTATCAAAGTAATATCATGCCCAACACAATAACTTATAATATTAACCTATGTGCCACATGAGAAAACGGAAAGACACAAAATATCAAATGGAATGTAAAAATATAAAATTATATGAATGCATCTAAAGCTCTTTCTCACGATGATTCCTGCAAAAAATATTGTAGAATATGAATGAATAGAATCGCAGTTTTTCTAGCTTTAAAATAAAACTGAGATATTAGATATATATATCATATCGTTTCCTCTTTAGTTGCCAACTATTTTATTGATCAGAACACGATATATTCAATATGATGAGAAAAGCTGACTTTGATAATAGTTTTTGTTTATACGTATTATAGTTGAGAGATGTGGCATGGTGTGGATCATTTGTTGACCTATGACCAGTAATGCATACTGTTGTGAACACTGTTTCTTGCAAAATGTTGTAATGTATCAAATACTATATACACAATTAAATTATTTAATGTGTGATGAAACGGATTTAATGAACGTCTCCACTCTCCACGTGGAAAACCTAATTTATTCGTTGGTATGAATATAGGTTCCCGTTCCATGTATATATATTTTTGAAAGGGAGATGACAAAGTTATATATAATTGAAAAAAAAAATCAGTTAAACGGGAGAATCATCGATAATTCAACATATTGTCTCCTAAGTCGTAATCGTATATAAGAAACTTAATGGGAAAAAAACCTTTATACCACTGTCCATTGTTTACCACGTAACACTACTAGAAGAATTGCTACATTAAAAACTACTTAAATATTAAATATATCATAAAACTTTTCATCTTTATATATCTTAGCACAAAAAGAAAAATATGTTTCTCCAATGACTAGATCTAAATCTAAGATCAAATTAGATGATCAAGATTCAAGACAGTAGAAAAATATTGAAAATCTCAATAAGTTTTTTTTTTTTTTTTTTTTTTTTTGTGCATCATAAGTTTTTTTGTGAAAATCTCATTAGTTATTTTTCCCAAAAACATGCATATTTTTTGTTGCTTTGATAACTAGTTACATATTGATAATAAATTAGTTTTCTTAAATTTTGTACAATTTTTAAAGGGAAAAAATATAAAGGCTTTACTACAAACTGCGTTTTGTCAACATATGGATTAGTTGCAGCAACTTTTGTGTACCTACATTGCTTCACAAACTCGATCATCTTCTTCTCTTCCTTTCTTTTCCTTCTTCTCACAAAAATTATGATAAGTTTCCACAAGGGCATTTTCGTCATTCTTAGGTCATCAAAGTCAAAAGCTAAACTAAGATCTTCTCCGTCCGACAAGATACAAGACACGAAACACAAAAGCCCTATTTAATGCAAAGATAACACACACACTTAGCCTCATTCACTAAGATCCTTAATTAATCTGATTGCCTTCATCAGAGTCTTTCTCCCTTGAGAGTTCTAGGAGATCTTCAACAGGTTCGACAATACACTTACATACACACATGCAATCAAACATTTATGTACTTATGTTTTTTCTACCCATACACACGTTAACAAGTTCATTTATAATCATGAATCCAATTATGGATCAAAAGTGTGTTTGCTTTATACTTAAATCTTTAGATTGATGCAATTATTTTTATTTTTTGGTCAAAGATTGATGCAATTCTATATGTTTAGTTCTCTAGATTATTTAGTTTATTCAAGAATACTTTCTGCGTACATAACAATTAATATTCGTGTTAATTATAGCTAGTAATAATGGGGCGTTCACCATGTTGCGATGAGAATGGTCTAAAGAAAGGGCCATGGACACAAGAGGAGGATGAGAAACTGATTGATCACATTCAAACACATGGCCATGGCAGCTGGAGAGCTCTTCCGAAGCAAGCCGGTTTAAACCGATGCGGAAAGAGTTGTAGATTGAGATGGACTAACTACTTGAGACCTGACATCAAGAGAGGAAATTTCACTGAGGAGGAAGAACAAACAATTATCAACCTCCATTCCCTTCTTGGAAACAAGTAATCAACTACTATTTCACTTTATAATTTCTTACTTGGTCTTTAAAACCATATGTTAATTCTTCTAGTCAAATCTTTAATTATATATCCCATAGGTGTGGTCTAAAAAGTTAGTGTGATAATCGAGAGTAGTGTTATATATGAAATATATAATAACATAAACATTAGTATATGGTTTATGGATGAAAGAATATAATTGACATATATACCTACTACACTGGTTTTCTCTAGGTGCATACGTCTGTAGCCGTTTTTCAATCTTGAAAAGTAATTTTTGCTATGACTAAAGCAAATCAATATTAGGTATTAGTCTTAGACTAATCCACTGGCATAATATCAATTTGATTAATTTTTAATCATTTCGTATATGTTTTTGAAAGGTGGTCGTCGATAGCCGGTAATCTTCCTGGAAGAACGGACAATGAAATAAAAAACTATTGGAACACACATTTGAGAAAGAAACTTCTCCAAATGGGGATTGATCCGGTGACCCATAGGCCAAGAACCGACCATCTAAACGTTTTAGCTGCTCTCCCGCAGCTTATAGCCGCCGCAAATTTCAACAGCCTCTTGAATCTCAATCAAAACGTGCAAGTGGATGCAACAACTCTTGCTAAAGCTCAACTTTTACACACTATGATTCAAGTCCTTGGCACCAATAACAACACCAATCCTTCTTTTTCTTCATCAACTATGCAAAACAGTAGCAATCTCTTTGGCCAATCTTCTTACTTAGAGAACCAAAATCATTTTGGTCAGTCTCAAAACTTCTCCCACATTCTTGAGAACAATCATGATGAGCATTTGATGGTAAAAAGCCAAATTATGGATCACCCTTTGGAATCTTTTTCTTCCCTGCTGATACAACCCGATTTTCAAGATGACCATAATTCACTCCCTCTATTGGTTCCTGCTTCTCCTGAAGAATCTAAACAAACTCAAACGATGATCAAGAACAAAGAGTACATTGCGGATTACCATCATCATGATACTGCAAATCCTTCATCATCAAATTCGACGTTCACACAGGATCATCTTCAGCCATGGTTTGACACTATTGATGATGGAGCAAGTGCTTCTTATTGGAAAGATATAATAGAGTAAGTCCCTCAGTACTCTTCCAACATACATCTTGTTTTGTATATATTGAATTTCGTAATTACCACATGAATGCATTCAGTGAAAATGGACGATTCGGCTAGTCTAATGTCTTAATTTTCCGATTTTTGCAGGCAAACGTGTTCGGAACCATGGCCATTTCCTGAATAGACAAGATTAAAGAGAGAATACTTTTATAATTATTTGTTGTCGATAGAGTTAAAAGCATATTTATTCTTCACTAATCCTTACAGTTTTTGTTTTAAGACCATGTGTGGTAGACATTGTTCTTGTACAAACTTAATTTACCTTACTGTATTAAATACAAATACTGTATTCGTGTTTGTAATTACTTTCATAAATCTAATTTATATGGTTTATACAAAAAAATACAGTTGTTGATTTCTTTTTCAAATATATAAAGTATAAACACAAACTCAAATCTTTTCTTCCATTTGATTTATTTTTTAATTAAAAAGTAAACATACTATCTACACGTAAACGCATACGCAAATGCAAGAAAAACAATGTCTCCTATAATTATATTCTGTCAACACGTAAAAACAAAACAAATTCTTGACTATCCCCAAGCCGTATGAACAAATAAATATGATTACTTTTGGATAATGAATATATACTTATTGTTGTTTTTTTTACCAAATATAATTGAAGATTAAAAAAGATTTAGTTGGCGATGGGTAAGAAGAAGTGAACTACAAAATATACTCTCGAAAGTGACACAACCTTGTTTTGATTTTGACTTTACTAGGAGACAAAATATAATTGAACAAAAGTTTTTGTTACATAACTTACGCTACATGTCTCGCGGGACAGAACATCTTGGCACTATTTTTAATCTTGCGGCCTAAACTAAACGATGACTCATGAACATTTTGTTTTGGTCAAACGACTCAACATTTATGATCTGAAATTAAGATGGAAAGAGGTAAATTACATATCATTATCAATTTTAGATCAAGTTAAACACTCGGCCACATTTCAAGTATGGATTGTGACAGATAAGGAGAAACTGTGTTAACGATTTTATTAAGATCCTAACAAGAAAGCCACCGGTTAGATTTTTTTTAATCCAGTTCAATTTGTCTCTGTAACAAAAAAAACTCACAGATTTTTGAATTATTTCCTACTAAAGGGAATTTTGATTACAGAACTGAAACCAAACCCATGCCGGTTTTGTCAACTTCAGTAAAATATCATCAGTCTCAGCATGAATCTATATATTGATCGAGCTGTCTTTTTCTAAAGACTGTAAAAAAAGAACTGAGACCGTAATCAGAATCCTGAGAAAAAGTTTCCCAGAGACCAATCAATGTCAAGGAAAGACGCAAGTAAGAGCTTTTGATTATCCATCGAAAAGTGTCCTTCAGGGCTTTGGTCTCTTTGGTGGTGTATCCGAGTTTCCAGGCTCCGATTTCCGCTTTATTCCCAAGAAATGCTCCACCTGAAACGTTTCAAGGCAATCGATCAAAATACTAATCCTGTATTAGACGGCATCTTATTAATATGTTGTTAAATAAAAATGTATTTTCTCTTAGATCATGTAACCTTTTTGTCCCCAAGCATTGGTGTTAAGCTTCCAGGAACATCCTTCTCAACAGTCGCAAACCCACTCTGAGGATCACTAGTTTGTCTGAAAAATGTAACAATCAAGTGTTAGTTTAAGAAGCTGAGCGTCACTTAGATCTCAGTGATGCCTAAAACTAAAACTGAGTAATGAAGCATATTATATACCCTGGTTTGACATGGCCACTGAGGACAAGGTAAGGAGTTTTCAACTGAGCTTGAGCTTCTCTCATTCTTTGAACAGATTGCGATGGTGTGTCTGAGTTTTTCATTTGCTTTAACTTGAGCTCTTCCTGGTACTGTTTCATCCGTTTCTCTTCCTTCATTTTTCCAGGCCCCTTCCCGTGGAATTTGTGAGAGAGTAATCGAAAGGCTTCTTTTGGAGTTAACTGTTAACAACGTGAGAGTTGAAGTTCGATTATTTTACATAAGGACGAGACTAATAAGAGTGAGAAGCAAAGCTTAAGAAAACTTACAGTTCTACCAAACTCGTCAGTCCTTTCAATCCGGATGTCCTTGAATCTATCCTTAGATTCTTTACCTCCTTCATCATCCACAATACCCACAAGCTTGCTCTTTTTTTTGTCCATATTTCTACCACCCCATTCGACCTTCTCCTTTAGGGTTCCTCGGTCTTTAAGAAGCTTCAATGCACCAGATAATCCTTTTCCAACAGCAACCTCGTGTATAGTTTCATCAGGAGTTATCTCTTTGGTGTCTGATGAATCCTCTGTTGCATCCATATCAGTGTCTTTTACTTCTGTCCAACCATCGGGGTGCTCTTCTTTTACTTCAACAGGAGCTTTGGGTGCTACATCTTCTTCCATGAAAACATCTTCGCTTTCAGGCTTTTGCACATCTGAAAGACCACACCAATAGATCAACAACTCCATACCACCTCTAACGACAAAGCATATTTTTGTCTAAGAAACCAAAGTAACCAGCAGGTAGTAGAATTGATTAAACTAGCCACAAACTATTTGCAGACAAGTTAACCCCATGCATGTGTGTGAGAGAGAATGTCCATATATGACACCAAATAACTGTTCCAAATAACGTAGGAAGTGCTATAGCAGATCAATATAATAGAGCAAAACATATAAACAGTGTAACTGTGTCAGAAGATGATTTAAACTTTACCTTTCTCGCGCTGGAGACCCCAGACAAAGTCTCCCATCTCTGTAAAAACCACTGTATTTTCTTGTGTCTCATCCCCGGTGGTGCTATTATCATCTGTTGTTTGATTGGTGCTGGAAGCCACAAGATGCGCAACTGCCTGTGGACCAGATCCAGCTTCCTCTTTCTTAATGAGAGCTAACCTCCTAGCTTTCTCTAACGATTTGTAAAGATCTTCAGCATCATCGGCCAACACCATACTCTCATCTTCGTCTGTTTTAATAGGCTGAACTTGTTCCCTTCTGAGTAGTCTGGATGCCTCATCAGCTTTAGCAATGGCTTCCTGATAGGCATTGCTCCGTTTTTCATAATCGTTCCTTTCTTTCTCTTCTTTCATGGCCTGCCTTCTGCCATCTTTACGAGAACCAAGATCTTCAGCTCCAAATCCCGATGCAACAGCTTCTGCTTCCAGCACACTTAAGTCCAATTTATCCTTTTTCCGCAATTGTTTCTTTTTCTTGGGTTTTTTGAACCGTAGCATTTCTTCATGTGAGAAGTAATCTGAAGAGACCTTTGCTGAGGAGTTAAGGTCTTCATAAGTATTTGTCGTCTGACCCTGAATTCTCTTACGCAGCTGATAGGTAGAACATGAAGGACAATAATTCCGTTAGTGTGTATACTTACTACGATCCATTTAATATGACAGAATGTTAGGAAGAATAGTACCTCCTCTAGCTTCTTCTCAGCTTCACCGGTGAAGCGACCCTTTGCATCCAAAAAGATCCCCTAAAGCAAAAGCAATAACATTAATTCCCTCCAAAGAAGTGCCTATAATTCTGGTATTTGAAAAATCCGCTAGACAGAGTAACTTACCTCATCAGTAGCGGCCTCATCGTACTGCGGAAGCATCTTCTTTTCTGCCCCGGGATCATCATTAAACCTAAAAAATCAATATCAGGCCATGTTTCAGTCTTAAGCAACACATATATGCTCATCTAAATGCCACTGATATATACTTAAACTTACTTATCATCGTATATTCCCTTTTTCTTCTTGGCTGCTTCATAAGCTTCATTCCGGCGCTTCTGTTCTCCGATTTCCACATTTTCTAGCATGTCAATCTCTGCAAGAATAGTTGCAAATCTCGTTTATGACAGAGCCTAACATCAACCATGCTGATAACATAAATAAAAGATAGCACAAAAAGATACTAACCATTGTTAACGTCACCATCGGCAAGGACACTTTGGTCTTTTAGTGTCAAGATAACTGCTCCACCTTCCACCACTTTATCCAAACCATGTAGAACTTTAACACCAGATAGATGCCCTGTGAACCAGAATATGTCAAGATAAATTATCAATCCGAACGCATCACATTTAGAAAGGAAAAGGAATTCTATGGTATGACAGAATACGTGAATCATTATACTTATTTATACTAGTTTACATGATTACTTCCGTTGAAGATTTAAAGTTAGGTGTGAAAGAACTAGAAAGGAAAACATACCGCCATCCTCGCCATCTTCATTTTCACCTTGATTAAGATTGTCCTGAACAAATATAAGATAAGATATATTATTAAACTTTCAAATAAAAGGAAGTTATGAAGAAATAAAAGGATACAATATGTCCAAGGAATGGAGGTAACACCTGCTCCTCAAAAATTCTCGAGAGCTGCTGAGCTCTTTGCTTCTCAGCATTTCTTTTTTCCTCAATCTTACGGCTCCTTGCAACCCATGATAGAGCATCAGAAGCATCAGAAGCATCTTCAACTTTCTTCTTTCGTTCCTCTCTCATCCTAAGGAAAAAAACACAAATGTTTAATTCCTATACTACCTGTAATTCGAGATGTCATATAACGTACGAGAATCACTTACTTCAAAATGCGATTCTGAAGTTCCAACGCAGATGCTTCTTTCCCACTTGATGCAGCATCAACATTATCGTCACCTTCATTCAGACCTCTGTTGTCAAAATGTTCATATCTTTCTGCAGCTTTATGAGTCTGGTGATCATCTTCATGACTTTTCTTACTGGCTCTCTCCTTCACTCTTGACCTATCCTTGTCTTTTTCCTTTTCATTATCCCTATCAGTTTCTCTATCTTTATGTCTATCTCTTTCTTTTTCCTTCTCCTTTTCTTTTACCCGATCTCTGGTCTTATCTTTCTCCCTCTCTTTATCTCTACCTCTAGAGATCTCCTTGTCAGTGTCTCCTTCTCTATCTCTTTTTCGGTCTCTCTCTTTCTCCTTATCCCTGCGGTGGTCCTTATCCCTGTTCTTATCTTTATCCTTGCTCCTATGATCCTTCTCCTTCCTCCTTCCATCTCTGTGTTCTCTAACAGGCGAACCCTCGTAGTCAGCCCTCTCTTCCCTGCTTTCATGCCTTGATTTAGACTTCTCCACTTCCATTTTCAAAACGCCTATATGAATACCAAGAACTTCAGTCAAGACCAAATCACAAAAAGGATCAACTCAGAAACAACAATTACAATGGTTGCAGAACTACAACGAGCAAGATGAGAGTAACAAAACTTTCGGTTTCTAAACTGGTGGTGACACAACACAAGTAACGCGTAAAGCCCTAACCTAAGAAGGATTTCATTATTATTGTGAAACAAGGTAAATCAAATCCTGATTCTAGCTATAGGTCAAATTCAGACTGTGGAGAATAAACAGAAAAGGGAACAAGGTCAAGCGATACGAAAATTCATCGGAAAGAAAAACGCAAACGCCCGAAAAGAAATCTCAAAGAAAACAAAACTTCAAAAAAATCCGATTCGAATTACCTCTAGATCAAGCCTTCAATGGAAAGTACTGCAATATTGGGATCGACGGACAAAGAACCCAGAATTGCAGGAGAAATTTTCCGAGGGTTTAGAGAGAAACTGCGAAAGCACACGACGAATAGTAAGGTTTAGAAGATAAAGCCCTAGTAACTGCCAAGAAATTTAGAAAGGAATGCTTCAAGCGAGAGAGATAACGACTAACAGCAAGCCGCGGACGATCGCAAACTCGCCGTGGAAAGAGACGGAGAGACTCTGGTGGCCAAGAGAGGAGAACAATTTTGCACAAAATAATGGAAAAAAGAGAAGATATACGTATATATAGGTTTACAAAAAAAAAAAAAAAAAAAACGTGTATATATATTACTCCGGTTAAAAAGCAAATTCGTTGGTACGGTTCGGAACTACGCATTACCAAAATTGGTTTAGTGTTTCAAAATAAAACACTTTCTCTTACCGGTCCGGTTTATGAAAACCAGCTGTTTACACTTTACATAGTCCTCAAAAGCTTGAGAAGATCTGCCATTTTTTTTTTCCGAATCTGCAAGTTAAAAAGAAACATACATAGCCTTATTTTTGACGAGTTCTGCAACAACGAGTGCGGCTTTTCATAGCAATTTTGGTTCTGAGGTAACCAGAAACCAGAAATTTATGAAACAGATTCTTCTTATCAATGAAAGGTTTCTTTAGCATTCAAGAGAAGACAAAGTAGCTAAGATTAGGAGCTAATCGATGGACATGGCTTCAGCGCCATCGGCGGTAATGTTCCTCTGCATTTCTTCCACCATATTCTTCTGTTCATCCTCTATTGTCTCCTGCAACTCATCCACCTGTACATAATAATACCAAAACAAATTAAAGTTAGATTTAGCGGTAAACACAAAGAAACGCGAGAAAGGCAAAATTTTGTTCAGAATCTTAGCTATAAACACACAACAAAACCCGTAAAATCGACATACCACATGCAACAACAATGCAAACTGCTTCTTCCTTAGCTCAAGAAGTCTCCAACTTGCTGTGTTCTCAGCCTCGAGTTCTGCAATCTCCTTCTTCAATTCATGTATAACTTTCTGTGTCTCTGACCTCGGTGGCTGCGCAGAGATAAGTTTCCTAATGGCTTCACACTCCTCTTTCTGCTGTCTCTCTATCTTACTCTCTTCGAGCTGTTTCTTAAGATCTTCTATATCAGCTTGTGCCTGCATTATCTGCCTATTCGTCTCATCTTTCAACTCGTTGAAGTTCTCCTTTTCCCTAAGATTGGCAGCAACAACCGCATGGCTCTTAAGAAGCGGAATCTCAAAAGCGGAAAGTTCTTGCAAGAAAGCTTTGGCGAGCCTACCACAGTCACTGTAGTTATCTTCTTCTTTGTCTAGTTCGATAACGAAAGAAGTGAATTTCTTCTGAAGCTTCTTCAATGGAGGTTCGCCTCTGGTGGTGGTCGTGCGTGTGAGAAGCCTATTTCTTATAATTTTGTCATCATTTAACGGATCAAACGCAAAATTAGCTGCTACAGTATCTGACCTACCAGAAACAATCCTCCTAGCTCTCACTGACATCTTAACTACTAGACTCTTTTACTTAGAATCTGCAGAACAAACACAATTCATAAGCTAGGCAAAATATGATAAATTTTCGCACAGTTCTGACAAAGCATTATCTAAAACCATACAAATAAATCTCTGTAAGCTAAAAACTTGCTGAAAATAAACCATACTCGATTATCACCTGGTTATTAAACATAACAAAAACATTCAAACTAGTAATTAAGCAATTAAAACTTTAAAGACTTGGATTTCTTCTTCTCATTGTCAAACTTGTTCTAGGACAATTTTCCGTTTATCAAATTTTCATTGAACCGAAATAGCAGTGAGATTTACCCAATAAATTATCTGCAAAAAAGAGAGGATATTTGACTTACTTGAACCGAACCCAAGATCAATTTACCTCTTCTACGATCAAATATTCGAACCCAAGATCAATTCTGATGCACGGTGAAACTGAACCCTAATTCTATGTTTCCGTTCCTTCTTGAACGGTGAAACAAAAATTCCCCTAATGAACGGTGAAACTGAACCCTAATGCACGGTGAAACAAAAATTCCCCTTTCCCTCGTTCCTTTTTTTTTTTTTTTTTTTTCTTTTTTCTTTTTCTATTGAATAAATTGTATACAAGCTCCTGCACTTTCATTATACTAATCCGTATTCTTTTTTTAATTACAATATAAACCTTCACAGTGGTGAACTGAAGTAGTTTACTACTACAGGACTACTAGTTAGTTAGTAATTTACCTTTATAGGAGTCCAGAAAATTTTGGTCTTAACATTCCAAACACTATGAACCTAGGATGTTGAATATTGGTTTCGGTTCTGATCGATTTCGATTTTTCGGATATATATAAAGTATTACCGATCTGTATATGTATGTATTAATACTCAATTCAAACTGGTCTGAATAGAACTTTTCTTCATGTGTTTAAACATCTCAAGCTAGTTCAGTGTCATGTGAATTAGCCCCCAATTAGAGCGAAGGTGTTCACGATCAGAATTGAAGAAGAATCCGGTTCCTAACAAAAATTGGGGTTTTTTTTTTTTGTAATTTTGAGTAAATTATGAGCTTATGCTAGTATTCGCCATAAAGCACAGAGCTAATTCTAAGACTTGTCTTCAACTATCACAATATTTACATTTTTATTCTACACAGAACACACACACAATAGGATCGTAACCAGAGCTTAATGGAAGACATTTTGATTTTACAAAGTCTGTGAATCGGAGACGGTCACTATACGTAATCGTACCCGGATGAAACTCTTTCGGATGCAAGGTTTCGTTTGGTCTGAGTGGGCAAGAGACACCGCGTGTTGTCTTTGCTTTTAAGCCATTTCGAGCCTTTCTCTTCGTGGTTCATCGTCAGCTTTGATGCGACTGATTTGATTCCGCTCCTCATATAATTCAGAACCAACACCGCAAGATCTCTGCAATGCAGCCATGATTCAACGATAACCCCATCTATGAAGAAACCGCAAAGAAACATCACAGCAAAAATAATTTAGAATGCAAAAAATACTTGTGTTTTGTACATACAAGGGTGAGCAAGGAGAGCGAGAGCCGTTGATAAAGTAGACGAACAAGTAGGAATCGAAATGCTGTCCGTTGATTAAGTAGAATCCGTGTAACCTCCTTACACATCTGAAAGACATTCTTTTGTACAACCGGATTGCGGGATTGTTGTGTGCAATCACATGAAGGTAAACACCACGGCACACAGGGATACCACAAGCGTATTTGACGACCTCATTAATAAGCGACTTAGCTGCACAAACAAGTTGCACAACTTAATATTAACAAACCAAGCAATGGAAGAAAAGCATCAAGCCATCAACAAATATCCAAATCATCGGTTTACTACATTGGGTCAAAATCGATATACCTATTCCACGTTTTCTGTATGTTTCTACAACTCCAAGTGTTAAGATGTACACCAATGTCTCCTCTCCCTTCGACGAGTCATATCTTATTAGATCTGATATCTGTACAAGACATAGAAAACTATCAAACATATATATAACCAAAAAAATAATAACCCTTGACTCTAACATTAAACGAACAAGTATAAAATAAGTTTAGATCATAATCAAGATGTTACAAAAGTGGCGACCTTTGATTTTCTAGAACTTTTGTAATTAACCCATCTAATGTACACGGCTTTAAAATTCACTCTTAAACCATATGACATTATGAAATTGATAGACAACATTCAAAATCTACACTTTACAAAACCTTGCAGCTTCTTAAAAAAGAAAAAAGCCATTCAAAACTTAAAACGTTACGAACTGAATCTTATCTTATCAAATTGTAAGAAACGCATTTCGGACATTCAAAATATACACTTAAACTAGACCATGAGAAAGGAAGACAAGACACCTGAAACAAAAGAGAAAGAAACTCACTTCGCTTTCTTTGGCAAGCACGATTTTGGCAGTAACAAATCCAATAAGTTCTTCAGAATGACCATCAGGGCGGCTCCGATCAACAGCAGCCCAAGAGACGATATCACCTCCGTTGACAACATTCTGAAAAAACTCAGACTCATACCTGAACAATGCAAATGCTTTGATGAGACACTTCCAAGAAAGGAAAGTCAAATCCCAAAACCAGATCACAAATAAAATCTTCGGATCAAAGGTATTTATTTACCTAATTGGGAATATGTCGCGATGGATTTGCTCCAAACGTTCTAAATCAGAAGGGTTTATTGGCCGGAAGCAAATAGTTGGACGACGACCGATTTTGGGTTCCTCCATTGATGAATTCTCCACGAATCCACGGGGAAAACGCGACATTGATCGAGATGATTAAGACTCAAACAACCTGAAATTTTTTTAACAACTTTTCATTTGAGAAAGAATCGAGTTCGAGATCAAATCGGTCTCTAACCCGTTTGTCTGAATCGGATCCGGGTGGGTTAGGGTTTCCAGAATCCGAAGATGGGTTTGTTGATCTGCAAAGGTTTCACGCAGAGTCAAGTGGGAATCGAAAGAAATGTCAAAAAGAAACGACTTTTGGAGAAAGAAGAGCAAGGGAAGCTATATGCTTGCTTGATTGCTTTGCCGTCTTCCCCACACATCGTTATGGTTTCAAGCGAACCATCTTTGATTCTTCGGCTCATCTCACGTGCCTTGCGACTAACAAGCACGTGCATCTTCATCATTCTCTTCTTTGGACATTCTACTGTTTAGTTTTTTTGGTTTGGTTTGGACAGAATGGTGACAATAACAAAACAATCTTAGAATATCATATTTTGGGGTAATATCATCACTCATTTCGATGAAATCACTTAACATCACAAATTCACAAGTAACTTATTTATTTTAGGTAATTCATTTAATTTATCATCTCAAATTTAGACGAATTATGTAAAAACTTACAGAATCTCAAAGAAGTTGATGAATAAGACCACCCTAAACCTGTGTGTTGCCAATGCTTAGTTGGTCACATAACCCGGTACCAAGACTGTTACTGATATATGATTGATATAGAACCCACGAGATATGATTATATATTCAGAACATGGATCAAGGATTAATAGTTGTCAATAATTACGGAATTACATAATCTCCATCTATTGTCAATTAAACAACGCCGTTCAAAAATCGGTGACTAAGAACAGCTTCCGCCATTGGCCGCTTCCTATGGTCAGCGTTCAACATTGCCTACCAAAAACACCATATGCAGAGACAATATTGGTTAAGTGACCAAAACTTTCCAAACGTGAAAATTAATATCGGGTTTAACATTTAGTAAGGTTTAATCAGTTGACTATATATATAGGCTTTCTCAACATCTCGACTCCATGTTTCTCTATATTTTCTTTTCATTACCATTTCCATTTTTATTTAACTTTAGATCAGAGTTCAGTTGTTTTACTTTTTTACTAGGAACAACGATGCAGAGAAAATTGGATTGACCAAATACCTGGAGTAATTCCCAACCAGCTCTATCACCAAGATCCAGAAACTTCACAGCTTCTTCGAGGCGTTCATCAGCCAAACAGTACCTGTAAAAGAAATTAGTGAGGTTTTTCAAACACACAGTAACTTGGAGTAATAATCGACTAACTGAATACAACGGCTCTTTGGCGCTAAAGTGAAAAGCTATTTTTGTAACTTTTAACAAATTTAAGTTATGACTATAGAGAATGTTAGTTAATCGGGAGATAGCAAGAGGCGTACTCTCTTACAGCCTCGATATCCAACCGGAAAGTGTTTTCCAGTAACCTCTGCAGTTCATCAGATTAAATCACGGTTAAACAAAGAACGGTTTAAAGAAGATATATTCAGCACAAACAGAGCTGATACATTTATTGGATCAATAGGAGATCTTTTGTTCTTGCCTGGAGAGAAAGAGAATCCATTACGCCTGCTTCACAGAATGGAACAAAGGCTAAGTATGCAAAAAGAAGACCGGCTTCATATCTGTAAACCACAAGAATGTGTTAAACCTTTATCAAAGAACATTTGCAAATTAAAAGATGAAAGACTTAGAAAGCAAAAGTATTACATGTCATCTGCAATCCCAAAAGCTCTTTTCTCAAAAACTGTGAAAGCACCAGCAGCAGTTGCCCTTCGCCAAAGTTGCTCTGACAGTGAACCAGAAGTGGCTCCTTCTTCCAAGCATGAAGGCCTGTAATGTATGCTCAGTCTATTAACAGAGAGTTGAGGAAAACCAACATTATCTTAAGAATGCTAGTTCCAGTTATAAGCAGCAAGACCAAAATGGCGAAATATATATATAAAAAAAAAACTACAATAGCTGAGGGTAGATAATCAATCAGGGAGAGATGAGAAGAGCGAGGGAACCTTATGTCAACAGAAAAGGCTAGATCTCGCAGCCGCGGTATTAAATAGATGGCTTCTCGTTCCGCTGGTGTACTAAAGATAAATTCACCAGAAAGAAAAATCGACTGAATTAGTAGAGACATGATACACTAATATTGAGAGAGAGGTATGTATGCTATCACTTTCACATGCTCATAGGGAAACATACTTGAGAACAATTGAGGATGGCCCGAGGCTTTGGTGTAACCTGTCATTATCATGCATAAAGGCTAGACCTTTCATTGCACCCTGTAGGATCTTAATGACAAAGTTTCTCCTTCGTTTCATCATCTGCTCTTTTTCATAAGGATTCCATACTCCTTGGGAGAGAGCTCTGGATGTTTTTTCACTTGCAGTTTGCGCATAGTCAGCTGCACTATCTTTCCCTCCATCACGAAAAGCCAGCCACTATATGAAGGAATCAATTTAACCTATGTTCCATAAGGTATGCCAAATATCCACAAACTAGTGCAGCTTAGATTCAACAAACTACACTCAAGTGCCTCAAATTGTAAGTCTGACCTGTTCCCCAAGTTGTGTCTCAAAGCCACCAACAAGTATAAGCAGATTAGCAGGCAGGCGTTTGCTCTATATAGACAAACAGAATAACAAGGTGATTCTACTATTAGCCACCGATGAGATGTAATTCTAAGAATCCATTTAGCATTTTTGCATGGCTATTTATCTAACCTGGAGAAAAGAGTGTGCATTAAGCTCGTTTGCTGCCATCATGTCAGCCTCAACTCCACCAGCACGCTGTCCCGGATAGACCTTTACAGAGACAAGTATGTGATACAAAGAACGAACGGAAAGCAATTTAAGACCAAAATGAAGTTTGATGATTCTAATAAGGATGATTCTAATATGCCCAGAATGTAGAGAGACTCATGAAAAATGGAAATTGCCTTCTGGAAAACAGATTAACCTTAAAGACAATAGGCGTTCCTCGAAATGGACCCTGAGATATTCTTCCTTCATATAGTCTGCATACAAACTGCTGTGGCTAATACATTTTTAACTTGACCAAATAAATCACCGTCTAATACATTGTCTACTTAACGCCGAAAGTGCACCTGATCTTAACGCCACCTTCTCCAATATCTTGAGATTTTAATCGCCCAATATCATCAGAAGTATATTCAAAGTCAGATCCTGACTGCAGCCCTGTATAGCTAGGGGTATAAAAGAGCAAAATGCACAATAATTATAAGGTGAATAATAAGAATCTAGCAAAAGCAAGATGCACAATAATTATAAGGTAAGTCAATGTAACCCACTTCACAACACACATAGATTCAATAAGATTAACGAAAGTGAAGTTCATGAGATTTTAGACCCTTCAAATAATTGCTAAGCTCACGTATGCACTGCATAAACCTGTGATAATTATAGACTTTGCATATACATCTTTGAGCATTTTCCTCACCTCATATCTTCCACATACACACTCGATTTCGATATAAATTAGAGATATCTCCAGCTAGAGAGAGAAAACAAAATCCAGTGATAGTACCTAGTTACATTCATGAATCCGTAGCTTCCGATAAGCCGCCCTACCTCGAACGAGTCAGCGCTGGTTATCAAACCCGCCGTCACCGCATGCAACCGCCGAATTGGCCGATTCCGTCCACGCGAATTCACAATCCGACGACCGGATAACCCCTCGCCTAATTCTCGATGGATCAAAGAGAAACGCGAAATGCATTCCAAGGAAACGCGATGAACAGCGACCAGATTCATCGCTTTTGTTTGTATTTCGTTTTGTTTCACTTCAAATTCCTTAAGTTCCAATGATTTAACGAGTGTCAGTATTAATCCTTGTTTGAAAAATCCCTAGGGGCTAGTCCGTTCGATATGATCCTAGATTAAATGGAGACCTAGATTAATTGGAGACTAGTTTTAGAGTTATTTTAATATTTTAAAAATATATTAATTTAATATTGTTTTTAAATAACCACATAAAAATACATTTTAAGGTAAATATTTATAATTTTTAATTAAAAATTTATAATTTTAATAAAATTTAAACATAAATTATTATAAAATATCACAAATTTCTAATTCAAATGTTTGAACAACAAAATAAAAGTTGTTTTATACTTGCAATCAAAAAATAATCGGGATATATATAGACGGAAAATAATCGGATTAGACAGGAATTAATCAGATAAAGAAAAAAAATAATTGGATGACTGATATTTTGAAGGGATTAGTCATTAATCGAGGCTGAAAAAAATCTAATAATTAAGAGGAGAATGATCAGGGTAGGCGAGGATCTTTAGAAGAGGGATATTAATCAAAGATAGTCAGAGAGATAAGAGCCAGGAAAGTTACACTTCGACCTACGTGGCTTTTTATATACATAATTATTTAACGACCGGACAAATATAATCTTATTATTTTAACGGTTTATAATATGCCACGTACGAAACTCACCCAGAAAAAGTAGCGTCACAGAAAAAGCTGCTATCGATGCTGCTACGTGTACTTTTAAACCGAATTAATCCGAAGCAAGTCCAAATAGTGTCTACCAAACCGAATTCTAAAGGAAAAATCTATTTGTTATAACCAAACAGAGTCGTACATACCGAACTGAATTGAACCGAAGAAACTTAAACCAAAATGGCCATGACTGTTCTGGAGAAGTCATTTTTTCTTCGGCTTGAAGGGAAAAGATCAAAGATTGGGTCTTTAACACTTGAGAGAGAGAGAGAGAGTCTTGCAAGGTGTTTGAGCTCGCGAAGAACGGAAGAAATTTTCAGGATCAATCAATCGATCAAGCTTTGGTGAACTAACTCTTGCTTTTTCATTCGTAGTTATGGAACCGGTTCCCGAATCCGTACCGTCGCCGAACTCGAATACGTCGTCTATACCACCGCCGGTGAACTCCGTGCCGCCTTTCTTGAGCAAAACCTACGACATGGTTGATGATCCGTTGACCAATGAGGTCGTGTCTTGGAGCAGCGGGAACAACAGCTTCGTCGTCTGGAGTGTCCCGGAGTTCTCGAAGGTGCTCTTACCCAAGTATTTCAAGCACAACAATTTCTCCAGCTTCGTCAGACAGTTAAATACTTATGTAAGCATCTCTGTTTGTGTTAGTGTTTTTTCGAAAGTGATCGTTTTTCGTGGTACAATTTGGGGGAAATCGTGAAATGTTGAAGTTTGAAGGGTTTTAGTCTTGGTTCAGTCTCTTCTTCTTAAACCATATAGCTGAGCATGGTTGTGTAGTGACTAGATCCATGGTTGTGTTGGATTCTTTTTAAAGCCATGTCAATCTTTCTACTCACCAAAAGGTTCCACAGAACTTTGCAGGCTCACTGTCACATATGTCTGAAGATTTGGTTTCCTCAATTGCTTTCTGCCTTGTAGCTCTAAATCACAAAACAGAATGTCTATCAGTTCTCTGAACATTAGCTTTGCTTTCGTTTGTATATGTCCGTCCAGGTACATTTTTTTTTTGATAAAGTAAGAATTATTACTTTCCTTAAGTGATTTTGTGCTGCACCCAGGCATAGTGTGGATAATTTGTTTTCTTCTCAAACTTATGCTATAACTAGAACATATAACTAATATGGACTGTTTTCTAGTCTACCTGTTTTGTACAATAACTCTATGTTGGCTTTTCTACTTCCACAATATTAAGCAACTTCAATTTGAATTTGGACCTTTATAATAGTCTCTCTGTATTCTTATGTTCAGGGTTTCAGAAAAGTTGATCCAGATCGATGGGAATTTGCAAATGAGGGATTTCTTAGAGGCCAAAAACAACTACTGAAGAATATTGTTAGGAGGAAACCTTCGCATGTGCAGCAGAATCAGCAACAAACTCAAGTTCAGAGCTCATCTGTTGGCGCTTGTGTCGAGGTGGGGAAGTTTGGAATAGAAGAAGAATTGGAAAGACTTAAGCGGGATAAGAATGTTCTTATGCAAGAACTCGTCAGGTTAAGGCAGCAACAGCAAGCTACCGAAAACCAACTGCAGAATGTGGGACAGAAAGTTCAGGTGATGGAGCAGAGGCAACAACAAATGATGTCGTTTTTAGCAAAGGCTGTTCAAAGTCCAGGTTTCTTAAACCAGTTAGTACAACAGAATAATGATGGCAACAGACAAATTCCAGGAAGCAACAAAAAGAGGAGACTTCCGGTAGATGAACAGGAGAATTGTGGGGACCATATGGCTAATGGTCTTAACCGTCAGATTGTTAGATATCAGCCGTCGATAAACGAAGCAGCCCAAACTATGCTTCGACAGTTCTTAAATACTAGTACCTCACCTCGGTATGAATCAGTTTCAAACAATCCTGACAGTTTCTTATTGGGTGATGTTCCCAGTTCTAACTCTGTAGACAATGGGAACCTTTCAAATAGAGTTTCTGGAGTAACATTGGCTGAGGTTTCACCCAACGCAGCTCACTCAGCAACGAATCAAGTACCCGAAGCAGGTTTGGCTCAGCATCCTCAAGCTAGTCTGGTTCATCCAAATTTAGGTCCAAGTCCGTCTCAAGGAGTAGCACCTGCAGCCTCTTGGAGCCCTGAATCTGATTTAGTTGGATGTGAGACGGGTAATGGAGAGTGTTTCGATCCAATAATGGCTGTTTTAGAAGCAATTTCTCCAGAAGGAGAGGGCGAGATGGATGAGTTACTGGATGGAGTCCCTAAGCTGCCCGGAGTCCAAGATCCATTCTGGGTACAGTTCTTTTCTGATGAAAGCTCAGCGATGACAGATACAGACGAGATTCTATCTGGATCAGTGGAGAATAATGACATGGTAATGGAACAAGAACCAAACGAGTGGACCCGGAATCAACAACAAATGAATTATCTTACTGACCAAATGGGACTTCTTTCCTCAGAAGCACAAAGGAAATAAAGGTAAGAACATCGTTAAGTTCAAAAGATGTTTCTCTGCATTGTTGTATATCTTGAGAGTTATCATTTGTTTCTCACAATATAAGATTTTCAGGGGAAGTTGTGAAAGGAGATATGAAGGAAGGAGGAATATATGGTGTTTATACCCTTTACATTTTTACTGGGAGATGCAGAAAACTTTAAAAAAAAAAAAAAAAGAGATAGAAGAAACGTAAAAGATTTACTACCATGCTTGTGAATAAAAGTAGAGATCGTTTTTTGTGTTGTTTCTTTCTATTATACTTTTGTGTGAAAACGTTCGTCGTGTTCAATTATAATTATCTCAGTACAGTGATCTGTTGGTCCCTGACCGATTCATGCCCAAAAAAGACTATTTTTGTGTGGTTATTAAAAATACATGTTTAATATCTTTTGATCATAAAGATCCTTACCATGGATTAATACATAAAACATTCACACGATGAGTAGTTAAGATCAATTCGATTGAATGGGGAAGATGGAGTATATATAAAGAATCTGTACAATAGATATTAATCTTTAATGGCTCTTTGTATAGTTTCATAGATTTGTCCTTCGCTTGCTGCTTGAAGATTAAGCTTGGAGTTTGATGCTTGATGCTTTAGACCAAGACAACGATGATGACAATGAGTAGAACAATCCCAAAAATGAGAATAAGTAGACATGTCTGCAACAAAGTAAAAGATAGCAAACTTAGCTTTAGCTGCTACAAATACGAAATCACAGAACCGAAAAATTGGGAAGCGAGTTTCTTAGTGCGTACCAAAGAGGAGTTTGATCTTTGAGTTTTAGCTGCTTTTCTGAGTTGAGCAGTGGCTTGTGTAGTTGCAGCATGTGAGTTATCAATGTGAGAGTTGATGTCATCTGCCAATGCACATTATAGTTTTTTTTTCTGAGTTTTTAAAGAGGCAAAAAGAAAACAAACAAGGAGATTTACAATTTCTGATTGTTAAGTTACTTACCGACAATAACTCCTTGATGGTTCACAAGACCAGCTAGATCTTTGAACATATCATTTACTTCACCAATCTGTTCTTGAATTTCTCTAATTCCTTGCTCTCTTTCCTCGATAATTGCTTCATTGAATGTTATCTCGTTATCTAAAAACACCACTTCTTGCCTGGAAATGAGAATATAAAAAGTTAGTAAATAGCATCTTTCTGCCAAAACAGAGAAGATGAATTTAACAGGGTTTCAGGACCAGAACCAACATCGAAAATTTGATTAACCTATTCTAAAGCATTATATTAAAAATTAAGGCCATAGTTAGTGCCAAATGTAAACTACTCCACTGATACTTAGTTATCTCATTAAGGAACAAAAGATAAGTGAAAGATGGTTTCAATGTGAATTCTCGAGCAAAATGCATGCTTGAACATTTAGTTTATGTTTACCATTACAAATGATCAAATGAATTAGTAAAATAACATGATATTATACAATCAAATCACACTCCTCACCTTCTTGATTGTAGAAGAAGAGTTTGCTGCTGGGAGGTCCTTAAAGATTCATCAGTATCCAGTTCCGGTGCATTATAACTGCATGAGTGGCATAACAATGAAGCATGTGTAAGTGAGACTCACATTCCACAAACCATCAGAAACAATCCTAAGTTCAAAGCTTTCTGAACATTCGCAAAGTTTATCGTACATTAATCAAGCTATCTTCTTTTATAACATGCAAGTATATAATCCAGCAATTTTTTTCCTTCTCATAGGAAACAACGAGATTCATTTACCATGATCTTCTGTTTCTTAACATAACTAGTCAAAAGAGGTTACCTGGTAGGTATTTCTTTTGTGACCACAGGAGTATATGTTATTTCTCTTTCAGCTGCAAGTCTCTGAGCTTTCTGAAACTCTTTGAGAACTGATTGGAAATCTTTTGCCAGTTTAGCATCCGCAATCTTCTTTATTTGCTGCAATTTAAACATAACATCAGAATTAGGATACACAG